CTCGCTTTCGTTAATATGTACGCTGATTCTATGGTAGGCAGTGTTAAGAACTCCCCGCAGGTTCCAAATATTCTCAAAATTCTCTGGCTGAGTATTGTAACTGGAATCCACAGCTTTCACCCATAATTCTACCTGTATAAAGATTAAAAACTAAGTTAATTACGGGTTGTTATGAAAACTTTATTATAATAAGCATTTTCTTGATTTATAGTGGCCACGTTATTTACGTGATACAAGTAATAACAATGTTTACCGCCGCAGCGACACGTACAAGCGAGTCCTATATTTACCTCACAAAAATTGTCCCTGTCGTGAAAAAGATAAATCTAGTCCAGACCATAACATCTCACTCAATATCCACTTTAATATTATCCTCCAATCTACGTGTTTCCCAAGCAGCCTTTCTTATAGATGAAGCGAAACTCTAACATTGAAGCCTGAAATTCTGATGTAAAAATTCGCTCTTCGTGAAAGTAACCTGCACCTGTTTTTCTCCTGGAGGAACGGGAATCTCGGCCTTCCACAGCGTCCACGCCCAGTGACGAGGCGGCTTGGACTGCGTGTCCTGGCCGGTGAACTGGGCAACATGCCAGGTCTTCCCTCTGTCTGCCGTCACATCGACGCGCACTATCTTCTGTCCGGCACCCGACCAGGCATACCCTTCAATAAATAAGAAATACCGCTGTCAAGTTGGTATGTTGTTTAAACTTTGTTGGACTGCGATGGCCGTTCGTCACAGAGTAAATTGTATAAAACGTGTCTATTTTATTTAAACTTTATGTTTTGGTTTTTACAAATCTTTGTCCGTCTAACTCCGGCACCCGTACTCATTACTTTGCCGGTTCGTGATCTTGTACGTTCCATCCGTCGGCGTACTGCAAGCTCTACATACGCACCGAACACGTACGCCGGCAGATCGAATATACAAGACGAAGAACCGGCAAAGAAACGAGTACGAATGATAGAGTTAGACGGACAAAGATTTGTAAAAAAAGTACGAATGCCAGAGTTAGACGGACAAAGATTTTTAAAAACCAATGTTTTCAAACTTAAAGTTTCGATAAAAGAAACGTAGCAGGTGCCACGCGTTCGACTTCCAGTCAAGTCAAGTTTAAACAAAGTAACACAACTACTGAATAGTGGTATTTCTTATCGCTCCGTTCTGTACGCTGAATAATTCCTTTTCATGTTGAACACTGGATATAAAAACTGTAATATTACACATTACTCCTTAGATACATGAATGCCGTTAATTGGTTTTAAGTGTTTGACTATAATAATAATAACAAAATATGTAAAATTTGGTTGAAGGAAAATTTTTCATTGCTTTTATATAAAAAAATTATGTGTACCAAGGATTAAATCCACATGCGAGTGTAGACACAGTTTTCATGTCGGCGCGTATCGGCTAAACCCGAGTGAAAGCGACCGAACACGACAGAGATGAATCGACGAATCTCAGGTTCCTCGGCCTATGCGCCGATCTAGAAATTCACGTACAGTATCAGATCTCGGTTCACCTCTAACGACGATCTTGCCCTCGGACGTGAGAGTGACCGTGTCTCCCTTCGCCGGGTCGCAGATGGCCGACGTGACCGGAAGTTCCTGAATTGCCGGAGATTTCGTGAAGTCCACGGTGTCCCAGTCCACACTGGGAGAGAAGCCTTTGTAGTCGTTGCGCTGCCAATGCGACGTGCTCTCTTCTTCGGATGCCACGATCCTTCCTGCAAGTAACATTTCCTCACTCTCTCACTCTCTACTGGAGTTGCTAGGTAGCGAGTCCGCAGAATTCTCATCACCCGTCACCACAATCCTTCCTGTAACGAACAGTTCTTCATTCTCTCATATCATACATAAGTAACTAACAATCTAACTCGCTCAGTCACTCCACGGAGGAGAGTCCTTCTTGACAAGCTGATAGTCACTTATCTAATTAAAAAAGTACCCATCTTTCATGTAACCTAAAGGTTCATTAACATGTTCACGTACCACTGTACGTTATCTGCTGGCTGAATGCAGTCTACAGTCACACCCATTATTTTTTTAACAATTGGCTGCACTGTCCATCTAGCTGTACCTACGTCTGAGATACCGGGACTTGATGCAATTTAAATGGAGCTACAAGGGCAGAGAGGATGTGATTTTAAAAAACTCTTCAATATGGAGTTAAGATCTATTTTAATACCATGGTCCAACTACACATATTTAATTTTCCATATAAAAATGTGTAATAATTGTACTTTATTGCTATTTTTGTTGGCACTTCGAGAATAAGAAAGATGGAAATGTCAAGCGATCGACTAACCTAACCATTTGACGCTGCGTGCACCGACGACTCCTGGAGCTACTACCCGAACCGGGAAG